GGACCACTGATCTGTGGGTGGGGCTTAGAGCGGGTCGTGTCCGTCACCTACATTCCGTCTAACGGCTTAAATATTTTCTGAAAATCTTATCGTCGTGCAATAACTAAAACAAAATCATACGTGTCCCACTTAGGCCTTTTAAAGAGCAGAGCATATACATCGTACATCCAACAGTGCGTGAGACTTGGCGGCAGCCCTTGCGTTACAGCTCACTACGCTTCCGACCGCAATTATAACATTGCTGCCCTCCCCGCCCCCCCCCCCCTCCCTCAAAAAAAAAAAAAAATCCCGATAGAGCGAATAAACAGCCAAGCACGACACCAAGTTAAAAGTTTTCTTGGACAGTCTGAACATTTAGTCGTGCCATAAGAAGGGGAACCGGCGAGGAAACGAACGGCATAATTGTTACTCATCTGAGTGCACTTCTTGGAAATGTCAAGGGAGACAAAGGGAACCAGGGTCAGGAATGACTAAGCCTATTTGTCTCCACCGAAAACAGAGTGGGACCAACCGCGCAGCTGGGGCGCTGCCAGAAACCTCGCGACTTGGAGAGGAGGGAAAACCCCGCTGAAATGTTGGCCACTGGGGCAAGCACGCAGGAAGCATCCGCGGTGGCGGCAAGATTCCGCTTTACCCCGTCTCACTGAAAGCTCTGGGACGACGACGCGTACTTCGGCTCTCCCCTGAGAAACCGAACCTCCCTCGGCCTTTGAAACAAAAAAACATAAAGTTTAAGTATGAAAAAAAAAGAACTTAGCGTTAACTCGCAGATAACGCACAAACCAATGTCCTACTTGCGTTGATAAGCATTCTGCCTAATTCCGCAAGCTCAGAATGCTATTTTAGGCCCGCTCGTTCCGAGCACGAACGTGGAAAAGAGCCTACATATTTAATGAAATCCCGGACAATATTACACATTGTGAGGGTGAGAGCCCGAGGTCAGGGTCGCGGCTGTGACGCATGCCGAGGTCCGGACTTTGTTGCCTAATAATCCAGAGTGCCACTTCAGCTCGGCCGTCGCCAGACACAACGAATTGGCAGCCCGCATTTTGCGCTACAGTTATGTAATCGGGAAATAGCGGGCACTTTCCGATTCGGTAAGTGCTTAATGTGCTGCGTTCGGGAGTTCGCACGAACCGAATTGATGGGAATGATGTCCAGAACATGCCTCTTTTTACTTCTATAGCCGCGGTATGTTGTAATTTCGTGACTAGTTAACTGCTATTGTTGTCGTCCTATTGGTATTGAGTTAAGCCCAATCATGGGACACACGTGGGACGTTGATTATTGTCTTAACAGAGAAACACCGATAGACACTCGTTGGTGTTAAAAATACGAAATCTGTTAAAACAGAAAAACACCGATAAACATATACGTTCGCGCTAAAATTTAGGGTCCATTGAAACCGAAAAAACACAGCTTTCTGGTCAAAATTGCTCCAGCTAAGAATATATATGTATAGATAATCACTGTTTAAAGCGTAGATCCAGAAACAAATCACATAAATACACCGTTATTTATTAAAAAAAACAAGAAAAAACATAAACACCGAAAAACATTCGCCGATTTCCCTTATACGTAAACAAAGGAAACTATACGGCCTAGATATACGGTATCTATGGTCGAACTCTAGGCTTGCCGCTGAACTTGAATTTCAGCGTTTAATCGCTGACTGACTTATACCGGTCGTGTGGAATACATCTAGGCTTAAGGATTTAGTTTTTATGTTTTGGAAATAAATTGGCGCGTTAGTATTGTAAAATGAAAAAAAAAAAAAATAAGAGACGGTTAAAATCATCTGTACTGCCGAATTAGAGCGCAGTTCTTGAGGAGGAGGAGGGGAGGGTCACGTGTGACGTCACGAAGGCAAAATTTTCCGCCTAAATTTGTCGGGAGATGTTTCTGCTAAGTTTAGCGGAAACGTTTCCCGCCAAATCTATCGGGAAATTTTTGCCCTCATGACGGCACGTAGGACGTCAATATAGGAAACGTCCCATAATGCAACCCGCGGTTACGTCGACGGCGACGTCGCTCAAGCCGGAAACGGGCATCTTAAAGCAGCGCTTTGAAAGAACGCGTGAAGCTACGCAGTAAGGAGTGGCTCCTCAAATAAATTTCATATTGTCACACCTCAACGTGTGACTTAGCTGTAGCCAAATCATTTTATTAAAACGCATCTTTTTTTTTTTTAATAAATAGTCTGATGCAAATGACACAATCAGTCACGGCCACATTTTCGCTGTACTTTGGCGTTCCTAAGTGTGTATCTCTGAAAGTTAGGCTTTTTTTTGGTGCTGACTGTTCATAGTGATGGCGATGATAATTTAATATGGTGTCAACGCATGTGTGAGATATATACCGGGTGTTCATTTTTAATTCGAACAGATTTGTTACAAAACATTCGTAAAAGATTCACTAGTACCGTTTGCGCAGGTGAGTTAGACGGCCAGGGGGACATTATGTGGGTGTCTAATTTTTGCGATAAGTCGGCTAATAAATTAAAATTCGTTAGATAACTTTTTAATTTGTGAAAATACACATGCCGTTCCAATTAGAAACGCACTGAGCGTCCTCGTAAACCACTAAATCAACTCTTTTTTGAACGACTTGAAACAGGCTCAAAACCAGCACTGACGGAAAGCGGATGACTGGATTATCATCGCGTTCCGCCACTGCTGGCTTTGCGCTTGTTTCAAGAATGGTACCTTTGGTGCGCCCCCGAGTTTCAAGTCGTTCAAAAAAGAGTTGATTTAGTGGTTTACGATGACGCTCAGTAAGTTTCTAGTTGGATCCACATGTCTATTTTCACTACTTAAAAAGTTAATTAACGTGATTTAATTAATTACCCGGCTTATCGCAAGGATTAGCCGCCTACATAATGTCTCACTGGCCGTATAACTCACCTGCGCAAACCGTATTAGTGCAGCTTTCATTAATGTTTTGTAATAAATATGTTGGAATTAAAATGGAACACCCGGTATATATACCTTAAACATTCGTTGACACCAATTATAAATTTCTTCTGAAGGTTTACCAACATCTTTTAGTGGATTAGTTGTAAAAATAGTCATTCCCCCTAAAAAAAACTTATTCTGCTTTAAGGTTAGCAACTGAACAAAGAAAACCGCAGTTGTTTCCGCAACAAATGAACTAAAGTTGACATATATTAACAATTTCAAATGTTTTTTTTAATAACATGCCTGGCTTATTAAAAATATTACTGTAACTAGTCTAGGCATTTATATCAGTAATTACTGGATTCTCGTATTTAAATTCGATAACTTTCCTCATGCTCGTAAATACGGTTCACCGATATTCAAATAATCTATCCACACTGTGCGAAAACACCTGTGGCCGGTCAAGTCACATTTATGCAGAAATTGAAGAAGAGGAGGACGCGACAGAACACCGAGCTCTGGTTGCAATGAATAGTGGGCAGACGAAAGGCTATCTGACTTTGCTTCCACTGCACTCGTCGTACAGTGCAGTGGAGTCAAAAGCTGCCATTGTCCTCACTGCACTCGTCGAACACGTTAGTTAGAACGCGCAACTCTGCCGTCCAGTGTTAAAACACTGCAATGAAAGACAGCGGCAGCTGGCTTTAGATGATCTACCCACTAATCATGCGAACCAAAGCTCAGTAAGCTGAGGTCACCACGCTCTCTGGTCTACCCCTCTTTCTCATTTTCTGCGCGCATGGACGCGTTTCAAAACTCTCTAGTTCAGACAGTGTCCGAACCGGGAACGTTTATGAGATTCCTGAACCGTGGCCTAAATGACCGGTGAAATGAACATTTTACAAAAAAAGATATATTGGAAACAGAAAAGTATACGGCACAATGTAGATTCCACTATGTAGTGAAGGATGACGCAAGGTGCTTTGAGGTACGGGATGGGCAATCCGCCAGGGTATTTTCGGGGCCGACTCTGAGTTTTTGACTGTATTTATAAAAAAAAAAAAAAAGAACGTCCCAGAGCTTGCTAGATCTGCCTTCGTTTATTTAGGGAAATGATATGTGCACAAAGAAAGCACGCAGGTGGAAAACTAATAAAGAAATAGCGAATGTTGCCGACGTCATGAAAATGTTACATAACTGCCGTCGTCAATTTCTTGACAGTGAAAACTGACAATTTGCTTAGCATACCCATTGAATTTTACATAAGAGTACGTCAGATAAAACGGCTACGATCGATGATGGCAAGCCAAAAACCGCGACGGTATAAAATTTAAGTTTTTAGCACAAAACTCCTATCAAAAATTTCTTTTGAAACTCCAGACAAACTAACAGAACGCTCATGTTTTTAGAGTTGGAAAGAAAATGGGGCAGTTAAAAAGACGTCTGACTTCCAGCTAAAGAAAACCCCGGTAAGGAATTTCCCCCGCATATTCGTATATCGTTTCTAACTATGAAAGTTGCCATTAGCCCGAAAAATTCCGTTGAAGCTGTCCCACCGAACTCGTGCTGGAACATCTGCATTCTTATGCTAAGCAATTGACTTTACTATGGACGAAGTGTGCTAAAAGTGTATAAGAAATTTGCACAAATCTCCGAGAAAAAAACAACCAATAGATATTTCTTCAACTCAAACGGTATACTATTTATCCAGATGACTGAATTTATAGGACGTTTGCTACCTGCTAAAAAAAAAACCTGTCGCTAAACAGTTCGAGCATGGTTCAAATATTTAGTTAAAAGACTAATATAACACTGACACGTCACAATACAAAAATACAAGTTTTAAACTTCTCCAAAGTTTTCTAGCAATCTGGAAAATATTTTTTCATGATGTCAAGAAATTCCTGGATTAAAATGGGAAATTAAGCTTCAAGAGAGTATGCGCTTCAAGTTGTTTCACCGTATTACACAAATTTCTTATAGGTATTTTGTATATTTTATGCAAAAATAGTTTTTTTCTCACGCAGACAAAGCTTTCGCGAAAAAGTATCAAACCAGAAATGTTTTAACGGCACCGATATGAAAAGAAAAAGTGTTACTCACTCGCAGACGTTACGGAACAAAGGTTCAACCAGCCCGACGTGGGTGGGCTCTTAGGGCAGAGCGCCGCAGATGCTGAGAAGAAATCCAAGTCGACGTATCACGACAATTCGAAGATTTCCTTTTAAAAAATTTAACACGGAGCTTTGAAAAAAATTGTCAGGCTTACGACTTTTTCCAGGTAGAAGTGTTCTTGAAACTCCCACTTAAAAAAAAAAAATTCTCAGAAAATTACAATTGAATGTTTCCACTAGCAACACGTCCCAAACTTAGAAGCGGCACAGCAGACAAAGAAGAGGTACCGGAAACGTGCCATGCAAACATCAATGCATCTGCAATGCACCGGCAACACAACGTAAAAGTTCGACACTCGCGAACCATGGACGCTCGCTTCGGATCAGTTCAAACACAAACCCCAAGCCAGCGCACAAGAAACACATCCACACGATGAAGTTGCGCGTTCTGAACTGATCTCGCGGCCGCGGGGCCCAAACTCTCCGGGCCAGGGTTCCTCTCTCCCTTTCCCTCGAACGAGCGAACGGTGAAGAGAAGGAAACGAGCGTCGCTACGTAGAGGACACGTGACGACGTGACGTCACGATAGATCTCTTCTTTTTTTTTTGCTCCGTTTCGTCGCCCACACTTTGCGGAAATGAGAAGCGGCTCGGTTTCCGGTTGGGGTTTGTGACGTCGGTCATGAGGTTGAATTGCGTCACACAGGGTTTTTGTTGGCACTGCTCTTTTGTCCGAAAGTTGAACGCGCTTCCTTGTTTGTAGCCCGTTGAGGGAGATGGAATTTCAAAGTGTCGGGAGTAGGTTTTTTGACTGATGAGGATAATAGTAAACGTTTAAGAATCATTACTGTACAGTGCAATGAACGATTGCCTTCTTGCTAGTATATTCGTACCCATAGATGCTCTTTATCGTACTATCCCTAGTGCAAATGTATTAATGTGGCCAACAAACGTAAGCGGACAAATACTATCTTAAATAAGCTTGATTACGCCGGATAGTACTGTAATTTATACTACTAAGTTCCGATATGTTTATTGTAGCAATCATAATAATGCTTTTTTTCTTTCTTAAATACGGCACTTGTTTATACGTCTCAGTACAGTTCTTGGCTAGTTATATGAAAGTCTACTCGGCTTGTTTTACAGAACTTTAGTCTGAGGCTCTGTAAGAGAAAGGCACTGTTTCGTTGCTTCGACAAAGTCAGCATTCGGCCCAGAGGTTTCGAAAAACGTCGGACAGTTAATCCAATGTCTGATTCAATTAAAGGTTTTCTCTAAATAACGAGAATCATTTCCCAGCGTGCGGACACATAAATGAACCTTCTTTTGCTAAACAGCATGTCAGCTCTACTGCACTCACTTACAAATATTTCTTGCTTCTAAAATGTGAAAACTCCGTGCCGCACGCTAAGGAATTAAGGTACGGTGACACGTTTTTCGTGTAAAAAAAGAGGGTGCAAGCGTGAAAAACACATAACTGCAAATAGGTACAGCGCACGAGAAACTTATCACGAACTGACAGTAGTCATCACAACTACGAGCGTGTTGGAGATTCCTTACCTTGGGCGCCGACTGGCGAGTAACACGTTGGCATTCGCAAGTATCCTGTATGTTTAAATTGCACAAAAGTGACAATGTCTTTTTCTTAACGAGTGCAACTTGTTTAACAGTGTGCACTCGTCAATTCGCAAATGCATTTGGCATTTGCAATGCCTGAAGTTTCCATGGAAAAAAAACTAACATGCATGTTGCTGGATAAACAGGTTTAGCCTAGTCTGTGAACATTTGCATTGATAGCTCTAATCTTTAGAAAGAAATGTGCGACCACAATAAAAGAAGAAAAAGCTGTAAACGCGTTTTGCGGTTTTCTTTTTTTTAATTTCTCGATAAAATTTTTAAAAGTGGTCGACTGACACTTTTTCAGCCTTTCCAGTATTGCATGCATAAATAAGCAGTAACGTGGAATCAAGCGAAAGAACAAGGTAAAATATAATCGTATGTTATTTAACTAAACAGTTGAAACAGGTGCGTCGGAGACACGACACGAGACGAGACTTGTATACCCACTATTTATTTTTATTTTCAGATGGCGTTTGCCCAAGAAATTAGCCCGTTATAAGTAAAACCAGTAAACTGTAAGATGGTATGCTTTGCCTCAAACCATGTCGGATTGCCAATCGGCAAAACAATCTAGAGTGGCAGGATCGACTGACGCGAGTCTAAAAATATATTTAAATGCACAAAAAACAACAACAAAAAAGTCTGCTCTATAACGATATTAATTCCCGGAGAACTAGAACAAGGGAGACAAAGGACAAACACAAAAATCTCCAATCACAGCTAGGTACACTCCACTGGAAATTTTGAAATCCCTGGTTTAATACCAAGAAGGCGTTTATAAATATATATATTTATTTTTTATTTTTTCTAAGTCGCACAGCAGTTATTTGTTAGCCGTCTTTGGAGATTTGTTTCTATCCTTTTTCTCCCATGTTTCCGTTTCTCCGGGGATTATCATCGTTACTTTGTTCTGCCCGCTGCACCATTTGGATTTAATTGCATTAACAGTGCGCTCTGTTGCATTGAGCTTAACGAAACTCCACGCTCAGTACCACAGCAACGACAATGTTTTTTTTTTTTTTTTTTTTTTTTTTGTTAGGTCTTAACACATTTTCAGCTTGGCGATTTTTCGAGCTTCTTTCGTAGACTGCACCGATCATCTCTTCCACGTGGATGGGGGGAAAGTAGACGCTGCATATTTCTCGGAGTGCGTAAATAAACTTTCTCGATATTTGTAAAGCAGTGTGTGCCAGTTTGGCTCAAGTTTAGAAACTATTTCCCAGACCCAGAGTAAACATATTAAACATATCAAAAGGCAAGGATCGGTGTGACCATTAGATGTTACGAATATCATATTGGCGGTCAAATTAAAACGTGTCACATACTCAGCGCGCTCGAGCAATTAGAATTCTTCCATATGAAGTAGAATCTTGCGATACCATAGGAACGCGAAGGCGAAGGTCTGAGGCCCCACACCCGAGAAACTGTACCAGTGGGTCATAGCGTGCGCGCCGGTTAAGACGACGACCATGAGAGCCTCGAGGAAATGACCTTCCGCATCGGTTCCATCCAAATAAAACCGTGCAGTGTCACGCTATGGGCTTGTGGTGTCTATCGGGATCGAACAAAAAAAAAACGACGGGCAATCTTTTAGCGTAGGTTTTTGTACGGGGCACGGTATGGCGACCCAGAAACGGTTTACTGACCTACTCTCAGTGTCAGGTGCCAGTCACGGGCCGTCCAACGAACGACACATCCAATTAGCTCGATTGTCCGTTATCTCGACTCCCTAATGGGGATAAGCTGGATTGTCCTTCCTGTCCTGGTTGATTTGTATACCTCTGAGCCTAATGCGGAACCTAAGGATGATCTTTAATCGGGTGCTTCTAAAAGATAGTTTCCCATGGGCGCAGACGAGCTTAAGAAAACAGGGGGGGGGGGGGGGGGGGGGGCTGGCTCGTTCTGTGCATCTCTTATTGTTCCGTAGTCAATAAGCGTGCGGCGTTCGCCGATAAGGACGCCCATGAACCAATAACGAAAGAAGGTTTGTGAATTAACATAATAAGCGACGCCCTGTGTTTTTGTAAGCTGTCGGCGACCTTAGTGAAAAACGATTATATAAATGTGTCCAAGAGTCATACGCAAACGTATAAACCGACACGCGGGCTTGACGTCACGGCGCTGCGGCGGCGCTGCGATCGCGCCGGAGCCGAGGGGTGTGGGCAAAAGGGCGCACGTTTCGGATGGGCGTCATAGTATTTCAGCATACCGCGAAGCTGCGCTGCCATTAAACTCATCGAAATGTACAAGAAAAGTAGAGAAGTGAGCTTCTACAAGTTCCCGGCACACTCTGAAAGGCATAGAAAGTGGATAATATTCGTGGATCGAAAATTATGGTCGCCTCGCGGGTTTGTGCGGCAAGCACTTTCTTGGGGGCAAGCGCGGCTTTCATTTCAATCTCCGTCCCGAGGCTTGCTTATGTGCAGGGAAACCGTCGTCTGATCGAAACCACCCGGATTTTGTTCCCACGCTGTTCGCGCACAAAGCACCGGCCAAGGGCTCGTCGGAGGCTCGCTACGCCCGTGCTACCCAGCAGAAGGGGATCGGCGACAGAACGGCAGAGTTGTAGGCGTTACAAAAAAAAAAAAAAAAAAGTATGGAAATACGTTACTCGTCACTTGCAAATCAAAGGTACGCGTTGCTGAGCTGCGTTTCCTAAAATTAAAATGAACGTTAACTTACCGCTACTGATAAAAAGCAACGCACGTTACTTCTGCGTTACTTTTTAAATTATGATTTAACACGTTTTACGGTTTTGACGATGCAGGTATGCATAAGCTCATATATCAAGAAACATTATGCTCATGCAGAAACAGAACATAATTACTTTATCTCTTTTTACGGTTTCACTTAAATGCTGACGAGGAAAAACGCAAAGAAAAACATTGCTTGACGCATAAAAACACAGAAAAACTTGAAGTGAAATTGTAGTAACGAGTAACGTAACTACGTTACTTGAAATAGTAACGTAAGTACGTTACCCGTTACTGTGTCGAAAAAGTAACGAGTAGGTTACTACGTTACTGAAAAAAGTAACGCGTTCCTGGTAACGTCGTTACTTGTAACGTGTTACCGCCAAGACTGCAGAACGGACAAAGCGTTACTGCTTGTCATGCCTTGTGGTCATGAGGGCAGGGAAAATATCATACCTTGACTTCAAGACGCTGTGTGTATTTATTTAATTAATGAATACACTTCCGCGGACCCACAGGCTGCTGATCCCGCCGGCAGTGCGGAAACCAACTCGAAGTAATCGTAGGCCTCGAGAGACTTGTACGCCTGCACCGTGTCGGCCATGGACTGGCTTGGAGAAAAAACTAAATAAACGACGACGTGAGCCATCGACATTGGTGGCAGAAACTTCACGTCGGAAGTCCAGCAGGCCTTGTTTACGGTGTACGGATCCTCGTAGGCAACGCCGTCCGCGCACAGTTTGTTTTGATACCTCTGCCGTTCAGGCCCGGGTAGCGAGCTCAAATAGTCGGGCATAGCATACGACATACGTTGCCAGGAAATACGACTCACAAATAAAGCTAGAAGCGTCCCTACAAGGTCAACAACGAGCGCACGCCACACAACACAATGGCGAAAACACGGAGGGCCGGGTTGCTTTTGCCCACATAGCTACCGCGCATGCGCGACCTTCCGGCCGTGTTGGTAAACAGAGACGCTCCTCGTGTCGGTCTATACGTGGCAATATTACAAAAAAGAAAATTGCCAGCGACCTTTATCTTTAAATTTATATAATACATGAGGCATTATAGGAAATTGGTGAGAAAATTGGTGTGTCACGTAATTAAGGATTTCTACTATACACACGCTCCGCGGAGGTCTTG